CATATCATTGTCCTTGAGATGTTGACTGCTCAAAGAGCTTGCCATCATTTTCTGTTTTGTCTATCTTGTTATGATACATTCAGAGAACTTCACTGTTATTTTTTACAGCAACTGTTACGGAGGCACTCATTCTCAGGACATTTGCTTTCTGACTGTAGAATTTCTCTTTTGGACCCATGGCCACTACATTTGGTTGTCAACCTGTGATATTCTGGGAGCTTTGAACTTGATGCCTAGACTAGATCTTTCCCATGGAGTGGTCTCTACATTCTTTAGTATTTCAATGGATTGATTCCAGTTTTGGAATCCTCTCAGTGAAACATTTGCAACTCTCCTCAATATGAAACTTCCATTTTTCTGGTCACCAGTCTAGGATTTATCAGCTCTGAATGAGGATTGGTTCAATCTGTTTCTGTATGCCTATCCTTCTTTTTGACTTCTACCCAGGATGCTGTTTCTTATTTGTGAAACACCTTACTGTCTTTCTCATTGCCTTTCTTTGACTACTTCAGTAGTGGTTTCCACCTCCTTTGTCTCTTGGTATCACAAGAGCCTCCTCCTCTTCCATATTGGAGGTCCATTTTACATAAGCCTCTGACATCCATCTTTCACCATGATGTACCATACCTTCATCCAGTCCCTTGTAAGACAGATGTGATTGATTTTCTCATAGAGTAACCCATTTTCTTAGTGCTGTTGGCCATCCAGCTTTGCATTTTATGAAAGCAAATGGATGGTTTACTGGTGTTGGTCCGTTCATTACTCCCTCTTCTCCAGGCCGACCCATTCTACCTCATATCACTTCCTTTTTTCCCCTGGCATTTTGATCATGGGTTATCCATTTTAACAAAGGAGACAATTGTAGTTGGAATGACCATACAGAGAAAGGAAAGGAAGGTGACTGAAGGAAATATCTGATCACTCTCCCAGGTAGTTCAAGTATTAGGGAAGAAAAAGTGTCAGCAAATAAAATTAACCTGTCCTTGTGATTAAGAAAGTAAGAGATGTCCATGCCAAAAATGTCTAGAACAACATATGCAAGCAAGTAAGAGAAGAAAATACATCTTTAGAGAACGATAGTACAGGGAACAGGTGGCCAAAGGTTCAAAAGAGGAAATTGTGTGAGTTCTGAGAACTAAACAGAAGTTCCAGTCTGAGAGGGGAACTGGACAAGAAGGACAACTGAGGGGGGAGGCTTGGAAGGCATCCATAAGAACAGGAGAAGGAAAATGAGAATAGTTCATGAAGAGATGGAAGGTTTTTGAAAAGAACTACTCTGTTACCAGTGATTGTAGACCCTCAGATTGTGAGTCAAGTGCCCTAACCACCTGGCCATGCTAGGCCTCAAAAATAAGCAATGGCAGTTTCTACAAAAATACACAGTCCAAGCAAGATGGAAACTGACAGCCTGGACAGGTCTCATTGTACAATCAGGCTCAGAATGATCTTATAATGATAAAATAATCACCCATCCTGGCAGCTAAGGTCTACAGTAGAAAGGAGCAATTTAGAAATTACAACCAGTCCCTATGATGAAGTGTACAGGAGGCATATAAATTGTAAATGCCTGAATGACAATGACCACAAGAAAGGAGAAGAGAAAAATTGTTTTGAGAAACAAATGATACCCTGAAGGAGATGCATGTGTGCATGACCAAAAGGAATCGGGGCTCCTAGGGAAGTAAGGGGTGTAGAGTAAGACAGACCAAAATAAGAAGGTGCCAGAGAAAGAGAGTCCAAATGTTTTCTCACTGACTGTATTCTTCCTCAGTAACATTGTCATGTTAAAAAAAAGAAATCAACAACTGAATGTATGAATTGAGCTCCCTGCAAATTAAGCCCTGTATCTCCTCTGCAGATAAAGGTGTGAGGGCAGGATCATAATTGGTGCCGTCCTTTTTTTTTAGGCTCATAAGATAAAATATGTGTACTGCTAACGTCTCTAAAGGGAGCAGTACAAGTGAGATAACAACAAAGTGCCCAAACACGCAAGTTCAAATCACCATCCCCGCAAACATGTTTACCCTTTCAGCCATGGGGGTGTTATAATGTGACAGTCAATCACTTTATTCATTGATAAAAGAGTAGCCCAAGAGGTCTTGCTGGGTGGTGATGACCAGCTGCCTTTCCTCTTGTCTTACACCCCTAAATTAGGGACAGCTAGCGCAGATAGCCCTCGTGTAGCTTTGCGCAAAATTCGAAACAAATAAACAAACAAGTTTATTTTTGTGTGGCAGACCTTCTCTTGATTCATGTCCTCTTCCACTTTAACTGGTTGGGTCTGTCAGCTCATCTGTTTTGTATATTCGTCTTTGGGTAAGTCTAACTGTACCTTCTTTTTTTGTTTTTTCCCCACCAGATACAACATATCATAGCCTCTCTTGCCTCTTTTCATTATTGGCCTCTGAAGGAGATCTTACAGGCTGGTATGTGGACTCTCCACCTAACACATTCACGTCATTTCATCCATCAGTGGGTGGTTTCATGTGCTTGTGGTTTTTGTTTTCCTCTCGTAATCATTCTCCAGTCTACCCAGAGTCTCTAGTGTGATGAGTTTTGTCTGTTGTGTTTTTCAATAATTTCCATGTCATTCATACATTTAATGTCACTGCCATGTGTATACCAGTATTTTTGTACACATTTGAACAACCTTGCAATTTCCTAAATGAATACAAAGTGCACAGGAGGAGGCAAGACTCACCAGATCAAATGTTACATGAAGAACTGCACCTTATGTTTGGTGCCATTGGAACCACCTGGAGTTATCTTGCAGGGGTATGCTTACCCAAAATCCTCATTAAGTAGGTGAGAACAGAAATATTAAACCCACTTGCCCCTGCTCAGTGCTCACCTTTGAGATGGGGTTTTCTGCTAGACTGCTTCAGCACTTCTTCTATACAATTGACATGGCCAATTCTGCATCTATTGTTCAAATGATTATGCTGCCTGGAATTGACTGAGCACAGAGGATGTGTTGCTCATCTACTGATGGAAGGTTATAGTCTGATGATGAGTTATAGTCTGATGATGACTACATCATAGGCTGGCACAGTCCATGTTAATATATGTAGGGGTGGGAGTTTTGTTCAAGGCTTGTGGTGTGCACAAAACGTTGGCAGTGGTGGGATGTAATAACTGTTTCATGGTGAAGTATCTGTCTAAAATATATTTTTCAGATAAGGAAATGTTAACATTTTTGTGTTTCACTATTTTGTTTTTGCTTTCTATTGTAATGGTAAGTCTTACCCATACAAGCTCTATCACTTGACATCTCTAGTGATAAATGACAGGACTCTAAAAGTTGTTTGTTGCACATTGTGTTTTAGCAAGTCATACCTTGATAAACCTGATTCATTTTATTTGTTGCATCAAGTAGAATTATGGAAAAGTGATTGATAAGAGGCATTTATTTACAGTTGAGATGTTAAAAATATATTGTTTGATTTTTATACAGTGTTTTAATTTAAATATTTGTTACATAATACAATGAAGTGGAAGCAACAACCTATGTGATGGAGAGTAGCTGCAATAATAAACTTTGCAAATTGCAATGTCATCAATTTGTTTAAGCGTACCTCTATTCTGCTAGAGTAGTCTTAGGTTTGTGCAAGGTAATGGACTTTTGTTACGTGCTGGCAGCTAGCTACTTGTTACATGGCTAGTTATTTCTGCACACTGCTGCTGATGAGTCAGCGAGTCAGATTTAATTAATCTTGTTGTGCAGATTAAATCTGACTTTAACAATCTGTAAATCTGTAAGCCATGTAACCTTGTTGTGCAGATTAAATCTGACTTTAACAATCTGTAAGCCATGTAACCTTGTTGTGCAGTATGGCTTACAGATTTACAGATTGTTAAAGTCAGATTTAATCTGCACAACAAGATTATATGGCTTACAGATTTACAGATTGTTAAAGTCAAATTTAATCTGCACAACAAGGTTACATGGCTTACAGATTGTTAAAGTCAGATTTAATCTGCACAACAAGATTACATGGCTTACAGATTTACAGATTGTTAAACATTTGAGATATTTATTTTTATTTTTTTGTTGAAAAACTGTGGTACAGCTTATTTGCACACAAAAGTGGGATTTCTACTTGCCACACATTCTTGTCTTTGGAGCCCTGGTCATTAAAACATGTAATTTCAAACAAAAGTTTAAAAAGTAATGCAAATTACAGTGGAGGAGTATTAAGACATATTTGGTATGGTATATCAATATCCTTTGGCTTGATTTTGTGCTTACAAAAGTCTTTCATTTAGTGGTATAAGAACGTACAAGTGAAAGCAAAGAAGAATATTGTTATTGCGAACTATATTGTTAATATTTTAATCTAGATGTTTGCTAGAGGGAGTTGCTGCTCATGGTGACCATGAAGCAATATCAAAAAGTTCATTATGATGTAATAATCAAGAAACTTTAAATATGTGGAAGCAAGGATACAATATAAATATGAGTAATTCATAATGATTGAGTTCAGTTAGTGAAATATTCAATGAATGATTCAGTTAAGTGTCAGTTACTCAATCAGTTAACCAAGTAATTATACAAGAAAGTTTGCAGTAACATTATATGTACATTTTGCAGCTTATGTGGAAAGTTTATGTTTGAAGTTAGGCCTACATTTAGTGCCAGAGTTTATGGTGACAAGTTTATTTATAAAATTAGGTTCATAAGTGAACATGTTTGTTGTGAGAGTAAATGTTTATTGAAGAAATAAGTTATATAACATTATGTTGACTGGACTTGGCATTATTTTTACAAAATAATCCAAAGAGCCTGCCAAATAATATGACAGGTTACAATTATATATAATAATATGTCAATCACTGTTTCTGCAATAGCCAGTGCTGAAGAAGTATTTTGCTCAATATCATCGCTCATCAGACTGGCTTACTGAAACACGTGGCAAGTTTATTTATTTTTACAATGTTAATCTAGTATTGTGAAATTTCTATGTAATCATTATTTTAGAAAGTTTTTTCTTTCTATGCAGCTACGGAGTCTCTTTGGCTCAACTGGTTTAGAAAATGAAACAAAGGAACATGAGGCCCATTATTTTATTGATTCAGAATCAAAAGAAGAAAACATAAAGCCTCCATCAATCAGTGATGAAGCAACATTGAAGTTATCTGTAATTGTTCCTGCCTTCAATGAAGCCCAGAGATGTAAGTCCTGAAGAGGAAAGTTTACGAACTTTGATTTTACTAGAGAAAATAAAACAACATGCATTACTTTGAAACTAATAGCATTGATCAGTTAATATTTTTGTTGGCACTTTTTTTCACTTATAAATTAAAAGTTCTGTTTTGTTATTGATAATTTCGTTTTTGTTTCTTAAGATGTTCATACAGTTAAAAATGTATTTAAATACATTACTATACATCTGGATCAACAGGCAGCTAAAGATTGAACATTTTGTCACTCTAAACCTAATTTTTCTTCACTTCTTCAAGATTAAACAGCGTTGGGAGGCTTTCGGGTTTTCTGCATTCAGACTCTTTCTTACTAGGCTTTGTACTTCTTCATTATCTTTATGCTTTCTGTATTATAGATTTAATGAATCTGATTCCAAATTATCTGTTTTCACTGGGCAAAATTCTTTCTGTGGAATGGTCTTTATTTTCAGCAACATTTTAGTGACATTATGAATGCTTAGGTTGCTCTAAGATAAATGCTTTTGCTGTAGGTCTAAATCATAATATCTCAAACTTCAATTGCATTGATCCTGCATTTTGGACCTTAATTAAACAGAGTGCATCTTCTACCTTCTACTAGTTTTCCTAGTTTGAGATGTTTCATGCTAGATGTTGTTGATTAGCTGGTTTTGTTAAGTTTGGCTTTTGTTTCACATTTTTTGTATGCCTTTTTAGATTTCTTCCTGTAAAAATGACCAATATCTTTATTTCATCACATTATTCCATCTCCATGGTCGGCTATTGTCCAGTACTTTGCCCATGGAGTAGAAACAGCCTCTATTCTAGGTTACGATGTCAACCATCCAATATTGTTGTTTATTATATAAAGTTTATATAATGCCTCCATGGCTGAAAAGATGAGTATGTTTGGCAGCAACAGAAATTGAGCCTGAGACCCTCTATTCATGAGACATCTCGATCACTGGGCTATGCTGGCCCAAAGAACACACTTGAATTAATAGAAATTAACAATAATGACAAATTATAATAGCAATATTTCAATTACTTGGATAGTTGGAATAATCTAAACTAGTAATAATTGGTAACCATATTTCTCATTAATTGATTATTTTTGTGAGTCATGATATTCATTAAGAGAAAAAAGTTGAATTTATCTAAAGTAATAATGAAAAATCTTAATGGAAGTGATTTGGTTAGTTGGAATAATTAGAAACACTAATTTTGATTAGTGAATTAGTTGATTATTATCAGGACGTTAATTTAATCATGACTTTGATTAACTGATTATTTTATGTGATAGCAATTGATGTATTTGATACACATAGGTAATTGATTAATTGAGCTAATCACTCAGCTCTGTATGTGTGTATGGTGATTTATCTCATGATTCTATCAACAGAAAGCATGACACACAATGAAATGTATATCAAGTTATCACATAGAAGAGATTTGTTTGAGGCTACATAACTGCAAATATCAGACAGTGAAGTGGGGGAGAGAGTGAGGAGAAAACAAAGTCTAATTGTGTTGCATAATCAAAAGAATAGCAAAAATTTATAATAGAGTTAAGCCTTTGAAGTCTCTGAAGTAACATTTTGTCTTACTTGCAATTACAGAGCACAATTATTTGATTGGATTAAATCTTAGGTTATATTTATATAGAAGTTGTATGATGCTTGCAAAAGAAAACATGTTTAGAAGACTGCGAAAAAATTCATAAATAAGTTAGAAATGTACCAATATAACTTTTAGTTTGTCAATCATAACTACAATTTTTTGTTATTTACACTTACAAGTGCAAATTTTTTGAATGAATGGATACAACTTATATAATAATTATTGACAAAAAGAGTATTCAGCTTTAATCATTCATATTTTTTTCCATTTATAGTACCTTCTATGCTTGATGAGTGTCTTCAATATTTGGAAAACAGATGTGTGAGTTTGTTTTATAGTTTTTGTGCTTAATAAACAAAATAGTAATTTTCAAACCAGATCCTTTGAATTTGATTGAGGATGTACCATTAAAGTTACGTTTATTACCAAACAAGTTTTCGGCATGACCATTCTAACAATTCCCATATTGTATAGCATCAATATTATTTTCTTAGTTAGTTAGTTGCTTCTTGAACAATTTACTTGAATCACATAAATAATTCAGAGCTATATGAATTTTGTTTTAGTAAGTACCACATTTCTGATTGAGATGCTCATTACTATTACTATGATTGGACCTAAACATATGTACAAATACTTATTCATTCCTCCAGATGGTGATATGAAAGTGCACTTTAGTTAATTTCACATTTAGAATAGTGATCAAAATCATGTTATTAAAGTGTTCCAGCAGCAAGGGGGAGCACTTTAGCTTAGGCATGTGTTTTAACCGCTTACTTTTTACCATTAAACATGCAGTCAACTGGTATGTGAGTAAAATGTTTAGACAGTTATGTTTAACAGAATACCCAATATCAGGGTTCATGCTTCACTTATTTTTTAGAGCCATAGGCCCCCAAAACACACATTTTTTAGGGGCCAATCGTATAGCTCATTGTAAAATGTACTCTATAGTGGAGGTTATCAGAAAAATCACTAAATTAAATAGTTCACATTTCATAAATGTAAAGGAAATTGAAGATATCAACATATCTCAATTTTTTTTTGTGTGTGTGTACTCTTATTTCATGAAAGGAACACAAGTCAAACCATTTAACTCTCAATATGGGCTCAGTCAATTTGACCGACCACGTGACCTCTTTGTACTCATTTAAAGTCTTTATAGATTTAATACTTATAACTTTCAATATAGTCTGTATATCTTCACAAAATTTGGCAGTCTTTCAGTTGACATTATAAGTCTTTCACATACAAGAAATCATATTTTTAATGAGGTATTTTTAACAAACTAAAATAAAGATTTGCCGATGAATATATTGAGTATTTATTTTGAATAATCCATCTGCAAAGTGATTTTCATGTTAAGGTTAAAAATACTTTTCTTCATCTCAGAAATCTCAAATTTCATTTGTGAAATCTCTAAAACCTCCTAAATACATTTCAAATGTTTATTTTCAATAAAACTTTATATTTTATCTGTCATATTCTCTACCCTAATTCTATACAAGGTTGGCCAACTTGACTGACTTCGCCCCCCACCTTCCAAAAAAAACTAATAAATCTAAATTACCCTCCTTTTCTTTCTAGAATGACTTCAAATATAGAGTGAAACTAGTTTGTTTATCCTAAGTAGCTTTAAACTCCTGACAGTACACATCTATTTGTAATTAAATTTTATTGTTTTATTGCCCTTTGAACCTTGTCTAACTACTATTCATGCCATTATAAGTTGTAACTCACTTGGGTAACTGCAGCTCAAATTATATTACCTACAAACTACTCTGAGCTGCTTGCATGTGTGCCTCATGAAGAATTGTTATTATATTATTATTATTGTTTATTTTATCTAGTCTAACCTTAAATAACCAAAAGAGATCTCTATTTTTACATTTTAGTTACTTTTATAATAATAATATAGAAAGAATAAACATGAAAAACAAGAAATAAATTACTTACCCAATCTTGTTCTTGCTCTCAATGAGACTTAACCCTACTTTTTTTTATACTAATGGTAGTAGTGCATTAAATAGTTTTTATGTAATCAAATAATGCACCAAAGAACACAGACTAATAACATCCAAAAAGCAGGCAATTTCCTATAACAA